TCCATTGTAGGAATGGGCCACAGGGGCTGGGGATTTAGCTCAGCGGCACAGTGCCTGCCTGGCAAGCGCAAGGTCTTGAGTTTGATTCCTGGTACTGAAAGAAAAACAAAAACAAACAAACAAAAAGGAATGGGCCACAATCTGCTTATCTGTTCACCTGTCAATGAATAACTAGACTGCATTTAAATTGTTTCCAATTTAAAACTGCTGTGAATACTTGTGTACAGATGTTTATGTGAACATCAATTACTTTCATTTGTCTTGAGTAAATGCCAAGGAGTAGAATGGATGGGACATATAGTAAGTATATGTTTAACTTTTCAAGAAAGTACACAATTGTTTTTAAAGGTGATTATATAATTTTAGGTTCTCACTAATGTGTAAGAAAATTTAGTTACTGCATATCCTCTCCAATGTTTGATATGGTCAATCTTTTTTATTGAAATATTTTAATAAGAATGTTGCATTACTTTTTTCTGTGTTGCTGGGGATTGACCCCAGGACCTCATGCATACTAGGCAAGTGCTCTACCACTGAGCCACAACTCCAACCTCTCATTGTGGTTTTAATTTGCACTTTCCTAGTGGGTAGTGACTTTGAGCATTTTCTCACCTGCTTACTTGATATCTGTAGTTCTTCTCTCATGAAGTACCTGTTCAAATCCTTTCTCTCTACACCCCTCTTTTGAGGGGAGATTGAACTTAGGGTCTTATGCATGCTAGGCAAGTGCTTTACATCTCAGGTTTGCTTCTATAAAAAATAAATCTGTTGAGTTTGGGATGGTGGCACACACCTGTAATCCCAGCATTCTGGAGGCTGAGGCAGAAGGATTACAAGTTGGAGCCCCAACTGGGAAATTTAGCAAGGCCTTGTGTTTTTTTTTTTTTTTTTTTTTTGTCATTTTGAGACAGGGTCTCACCATGCAGTTAAGGCTGCCTTGAGCTCACTTTATACCCCAGGCTGGCCTCGAACTCGCAAGATCCTCCTGCCTCAGCCTCCCAAGTGCTGGGATTATAGGCATGTGCCACCACACCTGGCTAAGGCCTTGTTTTAAAATAAAAAGTAAAAAAAAAGGGCTGGGGACATATCTCAATGTGAAGGCTCTGGGTTTAATCCCCAATACCCAAAAAGAAAAGCTTGTTTTCTTCTCATTATTGAACTTTGAGAATTCTTGAGGTATTCTAGATATAAATCCTTTTTTTTTTTTTTTTTTTTTTTTTGGTGCCAGGAATTGAATTCAGGACATTGCACTTGCCAGGCAAGTGCTTGTGCTGCTGAGGTATATCCCGGGCCATAAATCATTTATCATATCTGTAATTTGCAAATATGTTCTCTCAGTCTATGCTTGTCTTTTCATTCTTTTAAATGTATTTTCAGTGAGAAGTTTTAAATTTTCTTACTTTCTTTCTCTTTCTTTCCTGCCTTTTTGAGACAGGATTTCAATATGTAGTTCAAACTGGCCTTAAACTCACTTTGTAGCGCAGGCTGGCCTAAAATTCACGGTGATCCTCCTGCCTCAGCCTCCTGACTGCTGGGATTACAGGAATGTACCACCAAGCCCGTCATGGCTTCTTTTTCTGAACATTTCCCTTGACCCATTTCAGGAAGCTATCTCGACTCTTTGTTTAATATGCTCAATATGCACATTAATCCTCTCAGCAATAATCTTGCCCTTAACTTGCTTGTTTACAACAATGCCAACAGCATACTGGGTAACACTGTAGACTCTTCAGCTTTGCCATGATTTTGATTAGGATTTCATTGAATCTACAATTATAAGAGTTGACACCTTTTTTTTTCTTTTTTGGTACTGGGAATCAAATTCAGGACCTTGTGCTTGCCAGGCAGGAGCTGTGCCGCTGAGCTAAAGCCCCAGCCCCCACCAGCCCACTGACATCTTAATATATTACTGAATATCAGCACTCTGAGGGGCTGAGGTAGGAGGATCACAAATTCAAGTTCAAAACCAGCCTGTGCCACTTAGCAAGGCCCTGTCTCAAAAACAAACAAAAACAAAAAGCCAAGAACCGAGAGTATAGTTCAGTGCAAAGACTTCGGGTTCAATTCCCAGTACTGCCACACACACACACAAAGAATATTATTGCATCTGTCCCCTAGCCCTCATTAACACAGTATATATCTCCAGTATTCAAGTCTCCTTTAATTTTTTTCAGCAATGCTTTATGGTTTTAAATATTCTGGTATTGTACATCTTTTGTCATATTCATCCCTAAGAATTTTAATTTTTTTTAATGTTCTGCCAGTTTTAATCTGGAAAATTTAAAAAAAAATGTATTACTCTCATTGCATTTTTTCTGTAAATCTAAAAGTATTCCAGGGGCTGGGGATTTAGCTCAGCGGCAAAGCGCCTGCCTGGCAAGCGCAAGGTCGTGAGTTTGGTTCCCAGTACCGGAGAAAAACCAAAAAAAAAATAAAAATAAAAATAAAAAAATAAATAAATAAATAAAATTATTCTAATATATGAAGCTGAGGTGGGCTGGGCAGAAGGCTGAGAGAGAGGCAGATGCCCAATACTGGAGGGGGTGTCCTTTTTATGCAAGGACACATCGTCATACAACTGCGGGGCCCAGGAGTCTGCCTGAGGTAGAAAATAACACTGGTAAAGCCCGGCTCTAGTGGGCAATTTGAATTGAAGAAGAGGGACAGCATTTTTAGGACTTGAGTTCCCCCTCATCTGTCAGCAGTTGTGAATGGAGACCATCTCTATGCAGGTTGTCGATGTTCCTCTGTCCACATACTGGTGCAATTTCTCTCTTCAGCCATAGAGCTCCTGAGGGCAGGGGCTGCAGTTCCTGACACTCAAGAAGGGGCAAGGGATGATGAGTGGAAAGAAACACCTACAGGGTTCATGATGCGGTGAGAAGAGTCATACTCTAGGAGTCCAGAGACCTTCATCTCAAATCCTGTCCATGCTATCCTTCCCGTGTGGCCGCTACAAGTCATTTTTATTCTGCATCATAAGAAGTTGAATCAGATAACATTACAGATGCTTTCTATCTCTACTATTTTCTATGAGAAGAACAAGAGTATTTTATTTGTCACCTAGCGTAGTGCCTGGGCCATAGTAAGGGTTAGAGAAATAATGTGATTAGTGAATGAATGAATGAATGAATAAAATACTTTTAAAAAGGAGGTTCCAGACATGGCCAGCTGGTGGCAACACCTCTGTACAAAATCACACGGGGTAGTTAACGGTCTCAGACCAAGGGAAAAGCTTTAGGGTAGAAATGCGTAAAGGCTGACGGGGTTGTGTGTGTGTGTGTGTGTGTGTGATTGGACTACTGGATATTTTAGAGATAGCAAAGCCCTGCAATTCTGGCCCAGCTTATTTTCTTAAACCCAAGAGACGATCAGTCAAACACACTGAAGCTATCTTAGCTGGCAGACTGGCAAGATGATTCCGGTGGGCAGAAAGGTAGACATGGCCCTGCGAGGTGGGCCAACTGGCACAAAGCACACAGGAACAGTCTGTGTGGCTGGGTAGCAGCCTGTGGTCGTCACGAGACTTGGGCCGGCCACTCCCCTTCAGCCACCCTGGCTCAGAATCCCAGACACCCTGGCACCCAGCCTGGATCTCTCACTTGTGGGCTCCTCATATGGGTTCACCAATCCCACCATTGATTTGTTATCCCAAAGGGAGCCTCAGCTTCTTCAGAACCCCAAGAAAACAGTATCAAATATTAACTTACTTAGGCAGCAGAGGGCAAGGTGTTGACTATGGTATCGGAATCTTTGAAACAAGCCTCGCTGTTTTATGCATCTGCTTCCCTCGTTCTCTTTTCCCCAATGAAGCCCCTGCGGTTGACAGAGACGTGAGCTGTGAAAGACATGAGCTATGAGAGCTAGTGAGGCACTTGGCGCAGTTGGAACAGACTGTAGGGACACAGGATGAGGTGTGGCGAGGGCACGTCACAGACCCAGAGCTCTGAAATGCGGCTCAGGGAGCAGAGGATAGAGCCGGGCTACTACTGAACCCTCAGACCAGAGCAGGAAAGGTGAGGCAGCGGCGGGGGTGGTGAGGTTGACACAATGACTTAATAAGCCAGAACAGGAACAGAACTGAGGCCAGATCCAGGCTCAGGTCCATCTAGATCCTCACAGCGCCAGTGTTCCCGGTGGGGAGGGAACAGGAAGCTGTGACTTCCTGTCTCTCCTTTCCCTCCCTGTTCTTAGCCCCAAGGTCACTTACTGCTGAGATGAATTCCAACCTGTGTTTTAGTTGGCACAGTTCCCTGGGCACGATGACAATAGCTGCTCGATGTCTTGCTCCCTTCCACCACAAACACCCCAGACTTCTGTGAAATAAGTCAATGCAAAGACATAAAAAGTGCTGTCTGGGGCTGGAGATTTAGCTCAGCGGCACAGAGCCTGCCTGGCAAGAGCAAGGTCATGAGTTCAATTCCTGGTACGGGGGCGGGGGAGAGCTGCCTTCAGATGCGTTATGCACATGTACCAACTCCCCACGATGAATGTAATCATTACAAACTGCACACACGTACTAAGAAAAATTTACTAGTAAGTGACATCTCATGTGTATTATTCATGTGTATTATTTCATCCCAGTAATCCTGTGAAACAGACTTTTTCACAATTTAATTTTATTTTGGTGCTGGGGATCAAACTTCAGGTCCTGGCACAGGGTAAGCACTGGCTGTACTACTGAGTTACACTCCCAGCCCCTGACAAAAAAACTTTGAGACTAGGTCTTGCAATGCTGCCCAGGCTGCCCTTGAACTCCCAGACTCAAGTGATGCCATTGCCCAGTCATCCGGGTAGCTGGGACTGCAGGTGGATGCCGCCACACCCACTAACCCTTGAAGCTTTGAGGCGAGGATACAGGCACACAGCACAGTAACTCGCTCAAAGGCATCCAGCTAGTGAACAGCAGCTGAAGGACTCCAAGCCTCTGCCCCTTCCTCTACCAGACCCTGGTTCTCGTTCCCTGCCTCTGTGACTCTTCTCCAGCCCCACTCCCTGGGGCTCAAGGGAGCCGGTGCTGCACTCCGCTCCAAGTAGGGGAGCTCTAGTTTAGTTGTAGTCGTCCCTTTTTCTTAGTCTGTGTGCTACCAATGCGACTGACCACTGGTTGCGGTCATCCCCAAGTCAGGGAGTACCTGGCTCTCACCCTGGAGTGGACGCTTGGGGTTGCCCTCCACAGTAGGATAACTCCCCCTATTTCCTTTCTGCTATGCCCAGTCCATCTGAAGTATGCACATGGACACACACAGACTCATCCCCTGCTGTTTGGGCCTGTCCTTGCCCTGCCCCACCCACCGCAGATCTCACCCAGCAGGGAAGGGACAGGTAGTCCATGCACACCCCTCCCTCCAGGTGTGGGCGTGAGCTAGGACTCTGCAGCCGGAGGCCCCAGAGAAGCACACAGCCCCAGAGCCTCCTGCCGAGAGCCTGCGGTGGCACCTGTCAGTCTGGCAGGCACCTGCTGGCCCCTCCACTCAGCACCACCAACCTCTGCTGCCCTGCGATGCCCACACCCAATATCTCGGTCCCCCTGCCCACGTTCTTCTGGGTCAACGCCTCTGGAGGTGGGGAGTTGGGTGCTGACGATGCCACGCTGCCTGTCGAATTCTTCGCCCTGAGGATCATGGTGGCCTTGGCCTATGGGCTTGTGGGGGCCATCGGCTTGCTGGGGAACTTGGCTGTGCTGTGGGTGCTGGGTAACTGTGGTGCTCGGCGAGCCCCTGGTCCACCTTCTGACACCTTCGTCTTCAGCCTGGCTCTGGCAGACCTGGGGCTGGCACTTACTTTGCCCTTCTGGGCAGTTGAGTCAGCGCTGGACTTCCACTGGCCTTTCGGAAGTGCCCTCTGCAAGATGGTCCTGACGGCCACCGTCCTCAATGTCTACGCCAGCATCTTCCTCATCACAGCCCTGAGTGTTGCCCGGTACTGGCTGGTGGCTTTGGCTGTAGGGCCACGCACCCATCTCTCGCTCTTCTGGGCCCGTGTGGCCACCTCGGCAGTATGGGTGGCAGCGGCCCTGGTGACGCTGCCCACGGCCATCTTTGGGGCCGAGGGTGAGTTATGGGGTGTGCACCTCTGCTTGCTGCGCTTCCCCAGCAGGTACTGGCAGGGAGCCTACCAGCTGCAGAGGGTGGTCCTTGCCTTTGTGCTGCCCTTGGGCATAATCACCACCAGCTACCTGCTGCTAGTGACCTTCCTGCGGAGGCGGCAACGACAGCGGCAGGACAGCAGAGTGGTGGCCCGCTCTGTCCGTATCCTGGTGGCTTCCTTCTTCCTTTGCTGGTTTCCCAACCATGTGGTCACTCTCTGGGGCGTCCTGGTGAAGTTTGATCTGGTGCCCTGGAGCAGAACTTTCTACACGGTTCATACCTATGTCTTTCCTGTCACCACCTGCTTGGCACATAGCAACAGCTGCCTCAACCCTGTGCTGTACTGTCTGCTGCGGCGGGAGCCCCGCCAGGCTCTGGCAGACACCTTCAGGGCTCTGCGATCCAGGCTGTGGCCCCAGGGCCCTGGCTGGCTGCAGCGGGTGGTCCTAAAGGAGGTAGGCAGTCCGTGGATAGCGAGCACCCCCCGGGAGAGTGGCCCTTCTAATGTGCTTGTGAACTTGCACAGAGGGACACCTGGTTGAAGGACAAAGCTCCATTCTCTCCTCTTTCTAGGACCTGCCAGACACAGGATCCACACATCCTAGGGAGAGGCTGCCCTCTCGGCCAGGCCCATGGAAATTCCGATCTCCAATCACCGACTCTGGGTGTAGGGAATGCGGGAGGCCAGGGCCCAGGTCTGGGTTGAATGTGACAAAGCTGAAGTCTCTATTTAGAGGTGGAAAAGAAGAGGAACTCACAATAAACTTCTGGATTACCCACAAGTTGTCTTGTTTTATTTATTTATTTTTGAGACCCTGTCTCACTAAGTTGCTAAATTGCCTGGGCTGGGCTGGAACTTGTATTCCTCCCTTCTCAGCCTTCTAGGGTGCTGGGATAAATACATAGCACCACAGCCTGCTCTTTGCCTTCACCTCTTATCCCAGTTCCATCTCCAGTTTATTTTATTTATTTTTTTTTGGGGGGGTGTTTCCGGTACCGGGAACCGAACTCATGACCTTGCGCTTGCCAGGCAGGCGCTGTGCTGCTGAGCTAAATCCCCAGCCCCTTCCATCTTGTTTAGTGCAGGACAATTTTTTTTCCTTTTTTTTTGTGCAGGACAATTTTTACCCTGTTTCTGCCTTCTGCAAAAATTTCCAGGTAGTTCCCTTAAGGGTCTAGGCTAATACACCTTTTGTCTGTTAACCCACACTCACCTCAGGACAGGGTGTCTTTTCTCCTTTTTTAATACCAGGCCAAAATTGCCCTCTTCCCCGGCCTTCTCCCTCTTCTTACCATGTGAGGGGGCCTGATGGGAGCAGAGGCCTCAGTCTCGAAGAGTGTACCTGCTGTGCAGGAAGATACTAAGAGCAGGGTCTTGCTGGAATCCCCAGCACCCGGCAGACCTGGTGCTGAGAGGAGTACCCGTGAGTCTCTTTAAATGAGGAACTAAAGGGAGATAATGCCAAGATAATGCCAAGTGGGATGATGGCTGGGGTGAAGGGGGGTGAGAGACGAAGAAAAGGTCTGGCCATAGAAAGCGGTGGTGATCTTCTTCCTTACACCAAATGCTTGGCTCTGAGTACAGCATCACCTCCAGTGTCAGAGTACCCGGGTCTGCACCTCTATCTTGGGCAGACTACTTTACCTCTCTATGCTGTAATTGTCTATTCTGTAAAATGGGCTATGCCTGAAGCATATTCCCATTATTCTCACATCCCACGTAAAATGGAAGAGGAAGTAAGGGGGCAGCTAGGAGACTGGGGAAGTCAGGGAGCTGTGAAATTCTCCTTTGGAATGGCTTTACAAGGTCAGGGGTATAATGAAAATCTTACACAATGAACTTAACGGCAGTTCAAGCCTGTCTTGCAGGTGTGTATCCAGGGCAGGGGCTCTCCTTTGGTTTCCATGACCATTATAACCCATCCATGATAAGAGCCATTATAAGGGATTCTCAGCCAGGCATGGTGATTTACGCCTGTAATTCCAGCAGTTCGGGAGGCTGAAGCAGAAGAATTGCAAGTTTGTGCCTAGCCTGGGCCATTTAGCAAGACCCCGGCTTAAAATAATTAAACATGGGGAGGTAACTCAGTACGAAGGCTCTGGGTTTAATCCCCAGTACAGGGAGCAGGAGGAGAGACACAGATGCAGAAGGGCAGAGGGAAAATGGGTGGAGCTCCCACTTCCGCCCTCTCCCTGCCCCCAGCTCTGGCCATCTTGTAACTCAGGATGGCACTGGACACTCAAGGTCTCAGAGCTGCAGAGCCCTCGCTGGAAAGGAGGTCACAGTGCCTCCAGGCGCCCCTAGCCACCTCACTGGGTTGCTGAGAAGAGGTTCTGAAGAGTCACCCAATTCACAACAAATTAAGCAATGGGAAAGAGAGTTAATTAGCCTCTCAATGTTTAATTTCCTCCTTTTGATAATGTTTAAACTGGTTCTAAAACTCTAGGTCTGTTCCCAGCCAATTCAGGAAGATGGAAAATCCTCCCCCCACCTCAGTCTCCCTCTTCCCACCCCCAGCAGCTCCTGATGGCTCCGGATATTGGCTCCTCTGAGGATCTCTGCTTTATGGGAGCCAGAGGTAAATATTGACAGAAAGTACACAGGTCCAAGTCAGAGAGGAGTGAATGGCGCAGAACCGCTTTCAGAGGGAGAGGGAGCGAGGAAGGAAGGGCGCAGTGACAGAGCTGGGCACAGCCAGCTGGGAGCCTGGAGCTTCCCTAGGAATGGAAAGAGACAAGGTCTTGGTGGGAGGCTGGGCCCTGGCTCCCTTGAGCGCAAAGCCATGGAGCTTTGAAGCTGCACCAGGAGGGAAAGAGGTTACAGATGAGTTCCTCAAAGCAGCATTTGGGAGGTAACAGGGTCAGGATGGCCAAAGATGGAGGGAGGGACCCGGCTGTCAGGAGGAGACACAGCATAGAAATGCTCTGGCACCATTTTGGGGGGCTGAAGGTAGGAGGGGGTTTTGGTGAAGGGGAACAGAAGGAACAGAGCAGCGCTGCTCTCTGCAGAGCTGTGTGCTTGAGTAGGGTATGGCGGCGCACGCCTGTAATCCCAGCACTCGGGAGGCTGAGGCAGGGTCATCTTTGCAGGTTCAAGGCCAGCCTGAACTATATAGCTACACCCTGACTCAAAAAGACCAAAAAAAAAAAAAAAAAGAGCTGTGGGCTTGTCCATCCCGGCTCCAGGCACTGTCTCCAGGTTCCCTGTTGTGATCCCAAACTGTGAGGGAATGTTGGGGGAACACACAGTCCCTTCTTTTGGCAGTTTTTGGAGGTGAACATTCCACCCACTCCCACCAGTTCTCCTCCACCGTACAGGCGTGGTTCTCAGCTGCTGAGCCTCGTGTTAAGTGTGTTTGAAATGTGAAGCTCTGCTTTTAGGCAAAGTAGCCAAAGGGGCAAATGGGGGGCTGGCCTCTTCCTGGTTGGCCTACCCTAGTCCAGCATGCTTTTTGCACCCATGGGTGAAGTGAGAACAAGCCTGCCCGCCCAGGATTCCCACAGAAGATGAGAAATCACCTTGTAAGGGCCAGATGCCCATGCAGGGGAGGGTGCTAGCTGCTCCCCATGCAATTTCAATTCCTCTTTCTTGCTGGGGTCCTGAGCCCCTTCTCATCTTACCCAAGAGTCTCCAAAGGGTGCATAGTCTGAGACTCCCCCTACCTCCCTGCCCTCACAGACCAAGCACAGGGTTATCAATCAGAAATGAGAAGTGAAAGAACCCCAAACCCCCCAAAACAAGAACTGAAATCAGCTATCTCCTGCAGAGGCAAAGAGCAAGCAAGCAGCTCTCAGAAGGGGTCATCTCCGGGCTCTGACATCGGAGACAGCGGGGCAGGTGGGGGCTGGACTGGAAAAGAAGTGACTGGGGCGATGATAACAGGAACTGTGCCAGAGGGGCCAACAGGCAGATGCGACTTCTGAGCACAGTACACAAATAAGATGGAAATGTTCTGTATACTGAAGTTTCCAACAGCCCCTGGAGCTGAGGGCCACTTCATTTTGTCCGTGTCTGAGGTTTTAAACAAAAGATTCACAGTGGTTTCCTTTCCTAGTGCCCTCTCTTCACTGAGGTAGAGACGGGCCTACTGGTGAGAAGAAAAGGCACGGTCAGAGGAACTGAGGTCACTGCTCAGCTCCTTCTGTCACCATGGCATCGGAAGTGACAGACATTACGAGACAGTACTTCATAGGGTTTCAGGTCTTTAATTTTCCTGTGTTTTTTTCTTCTTCTTCTTTTTTTTTAAAACAATCAAATTGGCAGAAAAATGGCTGGAGCTGGTGGGCATTGTCCACTGAAAAATTCTCCAAATTCACAATGAAGTTTCAAGTCATGGTCACTGAGGTGGGAGATGAAGTCAGGGTTTGTAGAGATTTCTCAACGCACCCTAGAACTTTCTCCAAATGGCTGACAAAGAGGTCGGAATAGGAGCCCTATGACTGGAGATGGGGGGAGAAGTCCCTGTCTCCCCCACCCCTTAAATTGTGGAGATAGAAAGGGTGTGATCTCTAATGGCCTACGTCTTCTCTTAAAAATATAAAACACGTGCAGCTGGCTTTGGTACAAAAAAGAAAAGAAAACAACAAAACATTCTGGTCCCTGCGGGTTTTTTCCCTCACCCTCAGCAAACCATTATGGCCACCCTAATCTCACCTCCATCAACTCCAGGGAGCCGGTACCCTCCCTGGGTTTCCTGGAGGACAAGGAGAAGGGAGAAGGGTTTCCTGGAGGAGAGGGTGAAGGGAGTGGGGAGAGGGACACGGCTGGCCCACAGCTCTCCTTAGAGGGGCAGGAGGGTCCTGTGGCTGCAGTCTTTTGTCACAGGTGGGTATTGCTGGGGACGGTCAGCGGCTGCTGGGGAAGCCTGAACGTACCCCAGTAGTGTAAAAGGACAAGGCCCCCGATCCCTATGGCTTGGTTCCCATGTCCCTGGTCCTTTAAATCTTCCCTCTCCCCCCATCACTAATAAACAATAAATAAATAAATTTTCCTAAAGTAGAGGGAAGAAGGCATGACAAATTGGCATCTGTGGTGTAGCTTTTGGATGCCACTGGGGGGCATTGTGACCTAAATCCCCCAGTTTCCTCAATGGCCCCAGGTATCCAAGGATCCCAAGAGCTGGCAAGGACAATCAGCAGTTCTTTCAAATGTTCCCTCATCATCAGCAGATTGGAGTCCCCCGACATCTGCCCCAGCAGTAATGTTCTTCAGTGGGGCACCAGGCAGGGGGAGGAGCCCCCTTAGCTCTCTGAAGCCAGCGGCTCCCCGTCACGGCTCTCTGTCTCCTCTGGGATGTCCTGCATTCTGGTGAAATCTGAAGGGGACAGGGGAATCCAGTGAGTGAGTGTCTCCCTCAGGCACCTGCACCCCTGCTCTGACACCTCCCTGTCTGCAGGTTACAGATCTGGGAGACGAGGTGGATGAATCCTTGAGTGAGAGGAAACCTCCGTCCACGTTCAGCAGTGCCCCCCACATAGTCATTGGTATACTTTGTTATTATTATTACTATTTTTGTCTTTTTTGAGACAGGGTCTCATTATGCAGTTCAGGCTGAGCTTGAGCTCACTTTGTAGCCCAGGCTGGTCTCAAACTCGCAACAATCCTCCTGCCTCAGCCTCCTGAGTGCTGGGATTACAGGCATGCACCACCATGCCTGGCTCACTTTGGAAATACACAGAGACAAAAGTGGATTAATCAAATACAAAACAGAGCCGGCGTGGTGGTACACGCCTGTAATCCCAGTACTCTGGAGGCTGAGGCAGGAGGATCCTTGCAAGTTTGAGACCAGCCTGGACTACAAAGTGAGCTCAAGGCCAGCATGAACTGCATAGGGAGACCCTGTCTCAAAAAGACCAAAAAAAAAAAAAAAACAAACAAACAAACAAACAAAAAAACACAGTTTAAGATTCTACCATGGACTCACTGTATCTTTTTGGTTATTTTGCTTATCTTAAACCAACTATTTGAGGTTTTAATTTTTTTTTAACTTAAAAAACTGATTTCAGCTTGAAAAGTTTAGGGGATGGGGGCCTAGCTCAGTGGTACAGCACTTGCTTACCATGTGTGAGGCCCTGGGTTTGATCCCTAGCATTGTAAATTTAAAAAAAAAAAAAGCTGGGCGTGGTGGTGCACACCTATGATCCCAACACTTGGGAGGATTCACTGTGAGTTCGAGGCCAGCCTGGGCTACATAGTGAGTTTAAGGCCAACCTGAACTACACAGTGAGACCCTTTCTCAAAAACAAAACAAAAAACAAGGTTGGGAATCTCCAGCCACAGACAGGCCCCTACAACATCACTTCCTACAGTTCCGCTCCACGCTCATCATCAGAAGAGGGAGTCCTCTCTGTCTCTCCCAAGAATTACTGTGAAGGCCCCTGTGGCAGCCACAGCCCAAGGGCTTGTACCCAAGCTGCAATCCACCCCATTCCACGCTCAGCACCGTCAGGGTCTCACCTCGTGGACTGTGGGGTGGAGTCAGACGACTGCTGCTACCTTCCTCCTCACTGCCAGTATCAGGGTCACTGCTGTCCTGCAGCCGCTCCTCGGGGCTGCCCAGCTCCTGCCGCTCTCGGTCCTCACAGGATCGGTGCACGGAGCGAATTGTCACAGGCAGATCCAGACGGTCATGGCCTCGGCTGTGCTGTGCGCAGCAAGCAGGAAAAGTGGCAGGCTGGGACTCAGCAGTGTGCAGACTACAGGTTCTGCTCAGCTGGGCCCCAGTGCTCTCTACTATGCTTCCCCTGGCAGTTCCGCCACTCCCATCTCGTTCAGTGTGACACACATGTTATTTCCTGTCAACACTCACCCGGGCACCCATCTAAATCTTGGGTGAGTGCCTGTGGCACTGGGGATTGAACCCAGGGGCTTTGCACTGAGCTACATATCCAGCCCCTTTTATCTTTCACCTTTTTTTGGAGTTAGGGTCTCACTATGTAACCCAGGCTGGCCTTGAACTCACAGTGATCCTCTTGCCTCAGCCTCCTGAGTGCACTACATGCGTGTGCCTCCATGCCCAGCTTCTCTTTCACTTTGAGACACGGTTTTGCTAAATTGCCCAGCCTGGGCCTGAACTTGTGTTCCGCCCAGAGTACTCCAATCACAGGAGTATGTTACCATACTGGGCTGTCACCTCTGTTGCCTGATTGATTTGGGCTCCAATTCCCAGCAGCTCAATGTCTTTCAGGTCCTGCAGGCCCTGTGTCTACCTCAGATCAGTTCACCACTCCAAGCTGCTTTACCTGTGGGGGGGTGAAGCTCAAGTACAGGGCATCGCCCGCTGGGAGGCTACGTCGTCGAGGGTCTAGAGGCCTGCGAGCCCAGGGTGCCTCGGCTGGGAGCTGCTCAGTGTGGCCCAAAGCGGCCAGCTGTCTTCGAGCCTCTTCGGCCTCCCGCTCCAGCAGAGCCCGGGCCTGCTCGCTCTCTCGAAGCCGGGCCTCCAGGCTGCCAGCCTCCGTTGCCCGCTCTTCACCCAGCCGCCTGCAGCGCCGCAGCTCCTCCTGCAGCAGTGCGTGTTGCCGCTGCAATAACGCCAGCTCTGTGGCCTGCTTTTCAGGAGCCACAGGGGCTCCAACCCTGCCAGCCTCCCCGTCCCTGGAGTTAGCTCTTGACAGCTTCTCCCGCCGCTCAGGGCCCTCAGGGAACCGGGCTTCCATCAAAGTGTCCTGCTGGGCCACAGCCGCCTGGAGTAGAACAGGGGCAGAAGATGTGTGAGAAACCCATTTCCTTCTCCCCGTCCCCTCGACACCCACGGCCCAGGTCAGCACTCCTGGAGCTGCATTGTTTCCTGAAGGAAACAAGCCCGAGGCTGTAGGAGGGCTATGTCCTGCCTAAATGGGCATCTTGGGCCTCTGATTCCCCACTCCAGCTCTGCCCACTGACCTGCAGGCCATGGAGAAGTCCATAGAGGTTGACCAAACGCTGTAACGCCTCCTGAGGACAGAGAAGGTGGGGACAGGTCTGAGGACAGGTCTTGCCATGCATTTCAGGTCAGCTGAGTGCCCAGAAGCTGAGCAAGTATAGGTGTAGGGATAACAGTATCTGCGGATCTACTCTGAGGTATAGACTCTCACCCACACCATTCCCTGACGGGCTACAATTTCTCTGACTGAGAATACCTTCCCTTCCATCTCTTATGCCATCAAATTCCCACCTCACCTCTTGGGGGGATCTCAGCTGATTTCCATTCCGATCCTGCAGAAATGGGTAAGGAAAGGGCGTCAGCAGGCAGGATCTGTAACTCAACTGTCACTACCCACCCTCCAGCTAAGTCCCAAAACCTCTCAAGAACCCACCTTCTGGCTGGAGTCCGAGTCAGCTCTACAGAGCTCAATGGAGCCATTGAAGGTTCTGGCCTCGCCATCTGTTGTAAAGGGGAAAAGATGAGCTGAGCTTACTCTGCTACAACCCTGACCCCACTCAACCAATCCAACACTGCCCATTCTCTCTGGCCCCTCCCATCTATGCCCTGGTCCCTTGCCCTGGCACTCACTGGCAGTGACCCCAGGACTCGTGTTCCCACTGCTGTCTGGTTCCAAGGGCAGTGCTGGTTCCCGGGACGTCAAGAGCAGCTCCACACCAGGCCCCACCAGCAGGTCTTTCAAGCCCTCCACTGAGGGAAAGAGGAGGTGAGGACAGGTGTGTGGAGCATGCAACACACACAGGGGCATTCAGGCATCTGGGGAAGTCACCTACACAGGCAGTGGGTTTCACTCACCAACTATTCAGGAGGCAAAATTTATTAGACTCCCACAGGGGAGCAGAAACATGCAGTGTGAGAGATGCCAACCGATAGCAAGGATTATGCCTCTTGCCCTGGCTTTCCCAGGTGCTGGCACAGGACAGGCACTCAGGGGGTTTACAAACTGTGGGTTGACAGCCCCCAGCGTGTGTGTGTCCGGGCCTCGCCATGTCTGTATGCTGCGATAGCTCGTGCGGGGAGGCCCTCACCCTCACGGATGGCATCTTGCAGCAGCCGCTCGCCACGAGGTGACTCGAGGGACTCAGAACGGAAAAGGCCCCTGGGCAGGGTTGGCAGGGGAATCCCACTGCCGGAGTCCTCCTCTGCCTGGAAGTGGGTCATCTCTGCAAACAGCCCGACCTTCTCCTGCAGCAACTCCACCAGTGCCCGGTCCTTCTGCTGCAGCTCCACTGTGGGAAGGGAGAAGTGAGCGGAGGAAGGGCCAGAGGAAGGGCATCCTGGGGTAAGGGCAGGGTAGGGCCCAGAGGTAGGACTTTATGAAAAATAAAACACTGGGGGGATGTCTGAAAAGTAATGCTTACTTTTGTTTTTTGGTTTTTCTTTTTTTGGTACCGGGAATCAAACTCAAGACCTTGAGCTTGCCAGGCAGGTGCTAACTCACTGAGCTAAATCTCTGGCTTTGCTTTTGTTTTTATAAAACAAAAAAGATCTGTGGCAAAGTTGTAGGTTGTCTGCATCATCCTTCCCATCTTTAATTTAAGACCACGTACAAGTTTCATCTGGCACATGGCTCCCAGTTAAGGATGATTTCCCAACATGCAGTTAGCATTCACACAACTAAATTCTGGTCTCTGGACATGAGCAACCTCCAGACTTTCCCTTAAATGGTACAAACCTGTAATCCTGGACACTGAGGAAGCCAAGGCAGGAGGACTGTTAAATCTGAATCTAGGGGTTGGGGATTTAGCTCAGCCGCACAGTGCTCCCTGGCAAGTGTGAGGTTGTGAGTTCGATTCCCAGTACCGGAAAAAAACAAAAAACAAAAAACAAAAAACAACAAAAAAAGAAATGCCAAATCTGAATCTAGCCAGGGCAACTTACAGATCTTGCCTCCAAATAAAAAATAACTAAAAAGTCAGGCATGGTGGTGCATGCCTGTAATCCCAGCACTTGGGAGGCTGAGACAGGAGGATCACTGCAAGTTCAAGACCAGCCTGGACTACAAAGTAAGCTCAAGGCCAGTCTGGACTGCATAACGACACCCTGTCTCAAAAAGACAAAAATAAAACACAAAACAAAACAAAACAAAAATAAATAAATAAATAAAAAAGGGCGAGGGATGTAGCTCAGCATTCCCTGGGTTCTATCTCTTCTCTTTTTTTGGAGACAAGGTCTCACGATGTAGTTCAAGCTGACCTTAAATTCACTTATGTAGCCCAGGCTGGCCTCAAACTCACGGTGATCCTCCCACTTTAGCCTCCTGAGTACTGGGATTACAGACATGTTTGGACATATTGTTGAAGATATCAGAACTGCACCAGCATTTCCTATTTTGGACTCTTTAGTGGAGAGGATTATTTACTTTCTTAAAGCAACTTACTGCAGTTATGTCACATGTACCCAGCTAATAACTGGCTCTATAGTTAAAGACTAACTTTTTTGCCCAAGTCTGGTCTTCCTCGTCCCCTTCCCAGAGGCAACCATAGTAGCATTATTACACAGAAAAGATACACACATGCACATATATTTGCCCATATTACTTTTACAGGTGTGCGCCACCACATCCGGCTTTGGTTCACATCTGTATCAGTCCTCACAGAGCTGTCTCACCTTTTTAATAGTTGCACATAGCCAGGGATGTAGCCCACTGGCACAGCGCCTGCCTGGCAAGTATGGGGCCCTGAGTTTGATTCCCAGTACAAAAAAACCAGTTGCACAGTATTGCATTGTATAGACACTGTATGGACATATGACAAATCATTTAAGGAGCTCCTGCGGGAAGACTTACTCTTGATGCGCCGCAGGTAAGCTTCATCTTCTGTCTCGATCAGGGGGAAGTCCTCCCGGGATGGACATCTGGAGGGACAAGTCAGATGGGATTGGGGATGAGGAACAGCGTTACACACCAAGAAAGAACCTCTCCTCCCTCCCAACAGTCCAATGCTCCCTCTTCTGGTAGGACTCCTCAGTTCCAGGCTCTGGCTTCCTTCACCACTGACCTCCTTTAGTTTATGCTGACATTCTGTGTCTGCCAGTATGCACTCACCAGACTACTAAGATTATAAAATCCTGGGCTGGAGGTATAGCCTGGGGCCTAACATATACAAGGCCCTGGATTTGATCCCTAGCACTGCAAATAAAACAAAACAAAACAAAGTAAAATCCCAATTAGAGTTCTTTTTTTTGTTTGTTGAGAGTTCACCCTTCAGGCATATTCTTTCAGAAGTCATCTTCATATCTTCCCAGCAAGTCAGACATGATGGCACATGCCTGTAATCCCAGGACTTGGGAGGCTGAAACAGGAGGACTGCCCTGAGTTCGAGCCTAGGCTACATACTGAGTTCAAGTCCCCTCTGAACTACATATCAAAAAGTATCTTAAAAATAGCCCCCAAAACAAACAAACAAAAAAACATTATTTGCCTAGCATGTGTGTGAGGCCCTAGGTTTGATGTCCAACACCAGGGGAAAAAAGAAAAAAAAAAATCCAACGAAGAAAATAAGCAAAACCAACCACATTCAACGTTTTGCCTGTGGTATACCGACTTTTCTCTCTATCACAGTTAGATCTGTAGCTGACTGCTTCTGCTGGACACTAGTCAATTTGCTTCTTGCTTCTATCATACTGAATTGTAGATGAGACTTGGTCACCATCTCTGTAGTGTCAATGCTTTCATTATCCTCTTTCATTCATTTTTAGAAAATATAGGTTAAATGCAGTGCAATCTAAATGATGGCCCTCTGCCTACAGAGACCAAGATATGAATACAGCTGTAAGTGTCCTGCTGGCCGGTAGGTAGGCAACCACATGACAACTTCTAAGTATTCTTTCACTTGAAGGGTAGCTGGGGTTGCAGCATATAAAATGTGACTTAATAAGACATAACAACATAGGTGGTCTTCCCCATTTTGGGCACCTTGTCTCTGCCCCTTCCACTGAATGCTAGGTCCTGTTCAAGGGACTCCTGAGACTGGAACTCCCTGCCTCAGGTAGCCGAAAGCCACATGCACATGGCAGCAGCACGCTCACACACTCACACGCGCACACTCTGCTGAATGACGCGGATCCAGGTGCTCCGGTCATCCCGTGATGCTGTGTGCACCTCATACATCTCAGGTGGGGCCGCGCTGATCAGAAACATCCCTTTCTCCTGGTTCGCAATGTCCCGTACGATGAGATTCTGCAGTGACACCACTGACGGCTTGTCCTGCCAGTCAGGGGAAAGGAAGCATTGAACCCGGGAATCCTGATCCTTAGTGACTTGGGCCTTCATTCCTGGAAGGCCTGAAGGATTGAAGAAAACATTCCACAAGAGACCAGCCAGAAAGGACCTGGAAATGTGTCATACTGCACAACTTATTTAACTTTACTTTACTTTCATTATTTATAAAATGATGGTGCTAATAACGGACCTCCCTTACAGGCGGGGTAACAATATCTATGAGCTATTCCTTCTCACAATACATTTGCAGTAGTTGTTTGTGGGCTCTGGGCCTGCTTGGGCTTGGGAAGGACCCAAAACACTTGTCTGTGGCAAGCAAGGGGAATAAAGGTCTCACCAGGGCAGGAAAGATGTACTTCTGGTCCTTCTCCTGGAGAAACACCAGCACATCTGTCATCAGCAGCATCAGCACATCTGCCGGGGACATTGAGGCAAGAGCATGGTCTGCACCAGAGGTCTGAGCAGCTGCTTCCCTCTTTCCCAAGACCCAGGCCAACTCCATCAGATAAAGCTTCTGATTCCCCTTACCCTGGCCTCTCTTCCCTCTGGTTGCTTTCTCCAGCATTTAAGACCTCCCCTCCCACCTCCTCATTCTGTGTGTGTGTGTGTGTGTGTGTGTGTGTGTGTGTGTGTGTTCTCCAGCATTTAAGACCTCTCCTCCCACCTCCTCATTCTTCATATGTGTGTGTGTGTGTGTGTGTGTGTGTGTGTGTGTGTGTGTAGTTCTGAGGTACTGAGGATCCAACAATCCAACCCCGGACTTCATAAATGCTAGAGCTGGGCATGGTGGCGCACACCTGTAATCCCAGCAGCTAGGAGGCTGAGGCAGGAGGATCACCAGAAGTTCAAGGCCAGCCTGGGCTACATAGTGAGTACAAGGCCAGCCTGAACCGCATAGTAAAATCCTGTCTCAAAAAGACACACACACAAAAACACTAGGCAAGCACTCTACTGCTGAGCGAGATCCCTAAGCCCCTTTTCAAATTTTATTTTAAGACAAGATCTCACTAAATTGCTCAGACTGGCTTTAAACTTACAATCCTCCTGCTACAGCCTCCTAAATTGTTGGAATTAAGCCACGTCCCCCTTTACAGTGCAGAAATGGAAGGGAAAACAGATTCATGAGCTATCCGCTAAAATAGCTTTTCGGCTAGTTAAGACCATACAGGTTTCCTCAATGTCTTTGGAGAAAACTCCTTACCCAACCAATTTTTTTTTTTTTTTTTGAGACAAGGTCTTGCTATGGAGCCCAGGATTTAAAATTTGTGATCCTGCTGCCTCAGGTTCCTCAGTAGCTGAGACTATAGGTCTGCACCACCAAACCCAGGTAGGTTTAAGGATTTTGGTGAGTCACTAGGATTCTCTTTCAATTCTGCATCTGTCACCTAACTAGTGTATGATCTTGTAGGCACCTGACCTGACCATAGTCCCACTTCTCACTAAATACTTGATAGGGATGAAGAAAAGTTAGCTTCCTTTCACTAGGGCCAGCCCTCACCCATCCATATTTTTTTTTTGTCTTGAGTTCATTTTGTAGCCCATGCTGGCCTCAAACTCCCAACAATCCTCCTGCCTCAGCCTCCTGAGTGCTGGGATTACAGACATGCGCCACCACACCCAGCACCAATCCATCTTTGAACAGTTCCATTTCCTTCAACCCCAGTGGGCCTTATTTTACCTCCCTTCTCTCTCTCTCACCCTCCATGGTCTCAGGTCCTCAGGTCTCAGGGTCCTGAACCCCAAGACTGAGAGAGGAAGCAAAGGTCCATTCTATAAAATTTGGATGTTGCAGTCAAGAAAATGCACACTCACCCTTTGCCCTTGGGGATCTCACTGAACTGTGGGCATGCAGAAGAGGAGGGCTTTTGCAAATGCTGCAGAAATAGAGCTCTCCAGCCCTGCTATTTTTAACCCCCCATGCTTTATATTCTTAGCTGCTGCGTGGGAGGGATGGGAAGGAGAGAAAGGGATGGAGGGAAGAGGCTGGTGAAGACTGACACTACTCAGGCCTTGGCAGTGAGGATTTCGTGACACGGGTGCAGAGGCTCAGGAAGGCTCTGGCCACAGGTATCACAGTTTAGTTTTGTCCCCTGAGCCTTACTCCCAAAGGCAAGGCCTGCTATTTTCTTGCCCTGATTTAGATATAAAAGACTTTGCCAATGCAGACAAATCCTACAAAGCAACCCTTGGCTCCCAACATGGCTTCTCCACCCTTGCTCTGGTGGCTAGGATCCCAGTTGGGGAAATCAACTACTCTGACCTCTTCCTCCAGTCTGAAAGTTTCTGTATTTTCATTAAAACTGGTGGTTCTCTGGCCATGCAAAGACCACAGAGATGAATGCATGTTGATAAGGAAGTCCCAGTCTGTCCAGGACATGAAATGCAGCACCCAGATGCCTGCTGCTATCCAGCAGCTTTGCTGCTGCAGACACCATGTCTTTTCCCCTCCTTGAGTCTTGCCCTCAGTGTGGGCTGCATGAAGAGAGCTCAAAGGGCAGATACATCCCCCACTGTCTGACTCAAGTCCACTGCTGGGTCTGCCAAGCAGGCCACTGACCTTTGAAGCGCCCCGTTGCTGTCTTCCACAGCAAGCAGCCATCATGGATGAGCTTGCGCCGCAGCAGTTCTTCTCGGCCGAAGGGGCCCTTGCCAGGCACCGGGGCCTGGGCCCGAGGGTCCATGCGGTTGTAGATCTCCTGCAGGCGGGCCCCTTTCTCCAGCTCGTGCACATCCTGGTCCACATTGGACAGCAGCTCCTTCACCAGCCCCAAGGCTGCTGTCAGGTCCTGGCGTTCCTCCTCCATCCCTGGCAGAGAGTCAGCAACGGGAATGCTCAGCTAGCTTCCTTCAGCACAGTCCCCAGTGGGTCTTGACCCCGTCTTTCAAGGCTACCCGAGTTCCACACCCAACCCCTCCCCTTCCCTAAGCCCAGGTAGCCTTATGCCTCCCCTCTGCCCCACCACCCTCACCGTGAGAATGCTGCAGGATCCGGCTGATGAGCACTGGGTATTTGGTGATACGCTGGGTCACCAGCAGGATGCATTCCTGGACTCCGTGCCGCTTCAGCACAGCCGAGCGGGTCACCTTCTATGCAAGAAGAGGCAGAGCTCAGTGCAGCAGAAAGGCCTGGAGCTGAAGCCCTGGTGCTGGCCTTGCTTTGGCCGTTCACCTCCTGCTGGCCTGTGTAGCCAGATCCACAAAGTGGAGACATCACCACCACAGGTTGCAGTGAAGACCAAGCCAACACAATGTGAAAAACAGGGGAAACCATCACCATGAGGTTCTCTTAATTCTGAGAGGTGTGTTTTGGTTGATACATTGTGTCAACTTGGGGAGTCTACAAGTTTGGCTAACTGACTCAGCAGTTCTACATCCTGGGGTGAAAAGGACATGCCCTGACCCTTCTGGGATGTTGTTCATTGTGTCAATTTGAGAAGTAGAAGGTTAACTATGTGACTGGGCAGGGGGCAGGGTCCTCACTTTGTATCTACCCTGAGCCTGTGCAGGAGCAGAGCATGGAGATGATGTGAGTGCTAAGGCCCCCAGGGTGGGGGTGGCCTGCTTACAGTACAAGAGAGGAAAAGAGGCTTGTTCTCGCCCCCTTTTCGCTCTTGTTTTTGTTGTTTTCCGCTGCCATGAACGTTTGCCCTCTGCCTTGGAGCCAGCCAAGTATGGACTGAAACCTCCTCAAACTGTAAGGTAAATAAACCTTTCCCTCCTTCATTTTGGGTGTCAGGTATTTTGTCTCAGCAACAAGAGAAAAATAACCAAGACAGGGTGGGTGTGGGATCCATGGGTAAATGGGTGCACAAGGTAGCAGGGTACCTGCCCTATGTGTGTGTGCTGTTGGGGATCAAACCTAAGACCTTCACACTGAGCTACCTCCTTGATCCTTTTTATTTTTTTCAGTTTTTCTTGAGACAGGATCTTGCAATGCAGTTCAGGCTGGCCTTGCTCTCAGCTCTCACTATGTGTATATATATATATATATA